CATATTTTAGAACATATTAGAAAACATATAGAAGTCATTAGAAAGTGTATAGAACGGAGAACTTGCAATAACAAGTACAATCAAAATAAAAAGAAAATATGCATAAGATAAAGTCAGGAAGATTTAAGAGTAAGGTCTCATTCAGGATTTCAGAGCTGAAGTGTAATAATGAAAGTATGATTTTATAATCCTCCTACACCTTGGCATTATTCTTAAGCAAATCTATGAAGGCATAAGTAAGTGAAGACAGTGTGATCTCTTTGATGATTAAAGTGATACAACACTGAGTTCAGATATAGGGTGGTCTGGGTTTAAGGAAACCAGGACAATGATAGCTGGGAACACACGGAGCATTCATCCTCACCTGACATAGGAAAGGTCTAAGGATTAGAAGGATTAAGATTGAGGAAGACAGTTTGTGTGTGAGGAAGACTACAACTATGCTTGCTTAACAACACCATGGTCTGCATCACTGCAAAATGCTCACTTGTCAGCTAATGGACCGTATGTGTGTTCCTCATGACACTGCATTCTGTACCTCTGAACTTCTCTGAGATTTCAAAGGCATGAGTATTTCTAAGAAATGGAAGTAGAATATATGCAAATGTGTGTAAAAATTTGAAACAAATGCTTTGTATGTGCTGTGAATGTCTTTAAGGGATATCTCTCCTAAATCTTTCCCACAKAAGACCAAAACTCTGTTACATTCACAGGAGAACACCACAATTCAAAGAAGTTTGATATCCTGAATGGTGGTTCAGCTTGAGCACAAGCAGCATTTGCTCCTGAACACTGATGCTGGACCTGYCTGGAGACAGCCCCTGCTCAGTTATAACCCCAATCTAAATAGYTGTTACCTTTGGCAGGAAGACAATGAACATGAATTTGTCCTCACCAACTACAAATCACACACAAAAGACATTTGGAGCTTGTCTTTGCCAGCCAGTTAAATTACTGGGCCAGTATGCTCCATAGTGGGTGTGGAGCATTGTGTTCCTGTGCTGTCAGCCAGCACCACCACAGCACAGGTATGCAAGGGAYCTCCTACAAACACAGATTCTGTGGGTTTGGTACAGTAAATTTCCTCACATGCCAGCTTGGGAAAAACTGAACGGATTTTAGCTGGAAGTCACCACCTAGTTATTCACTGTAAATTTTTTAAATTGTATCTCTGTTTTGCTTAATGCTTTTTGGGTTGTTTTAAAGGCATTTTGTCTCATCTAATTTCTCTACTTGAGACAAAAGCCTGGAATTTTAAATCACAGCCATTAGCACAGCTCACCAAGGTCATATTCTCACATAACCTGTTTTGCTTCTGGAAGTCAGCTCTGAGGGCTCGACTGCATGCACTGAGTCAGCTCGCTTTTCTTCCAGAATAGGATGTTAACACAGCAACAGCATTGTTTTTGCTTGAAGCAAGGTATTGCTGTTCACCAGGGGAGGGTTTGGCAATAATTGCTTCTTATGTAAACAAGCAGAAATTAATGATGTTTTCTAGAGACCTGGATAAAAGTCTTGTTAATTGCTTGCAAGATGCATGGATGTAAAATCTCAAGCCTGATAAATATTGARTTATTATACACTTTAAGTTCCATCTTATGTTTAAAAAATAAAGCAATAGTTTTGCATGTAGATGTGCTAGAAATGTCTGCAAACTACAGGGTATGTTTAGTGTCCAATATTCTTAGAGTACATTAAAGCACAATTTTTTCAAAGATATTAAATCTGCAATAGRCAAGTAGACTACTCAACTGACACTGTAATTACAGTGATATAAAGCTAGTGGCGAATAATGAATGTTGCTACTGAAAGTGAATTGTGGAATAACAAATCAATGTGTGAAATCTGGATACCTTCTGGATAGGATCAGCCAGAAGAACTGTCATTAGGTGTTATTTGCTTTGTTCCACCTGAGGCAAACMAAACATGATACAAACTRTTATGAACTAGTATTTATTAAGAAACTTGTTCAACCTTCAGCTCTGCTTACTACTTCCTTATTTGGCTTGTGCAAGGGATGTCAGATTTTATAGCAACATTTTCTCTGACTATCTGAAAGGACAAAACTCCTGAAAAAAGGATGCTTAACCGATCCATCTTTATTTCTGTGTTTAACAATTTGCAACACTAATTCATGACGTATTTTATACTTTTTTTTTACTCCATCCATTCCTTCTTCAGTGTCCAGCACTGGAGGTAACAATCAACATCAGAATCATTATACCATGAAAAGAGTAGTTATTAAGTGAGGAAAAAAATCCAGCTTGTCGTTTGATTTTAGAAATTCATTGGTACTATTCTGCAAACCTAATCATGCAATGTAGAACTAATGTATACCACATCACTCTTATTTAATAGTTTAATAATTTGATACTGTATTTAGTAATGCCTTTTGCCTAGAGGAATACTAAAGAGCCACTCTCAATTCTAAGGTATGAAAGGATCTCCCAGCCTCCTGAAAACACCACTCCCAAAGCTCTTCTACCCCTCACAGTCAGTACTGGGGAAACCTATGGCTTTTCTATGTTTCATTTACCAGAGACAAGTACAAAAGAAAAACTAACCATCACCTAAAAATATCCCAGCAAATAAGACAGTGGTGTTTCTATAAACAAAGTCTAAAAACTTGACAGACTTCAGATCCAGAAGGATGAATCTTAGATTTGCTATTGTTTAAGATTTTCTGTGGTACAAGTAAAGTTTTTTGTTTTTTATTTTAGATTGAGGCTTGCAGTGAGGCTTTCAAGAGACACTTACTGCCTACAGAACCCAGTTCTTGGTTTAGGAAATATGTATATATATATATATGCTATGGCTATATATAGAGGCTTGGCTAACCTATGTCCAAAAAAAGGTCATGTTTGAGGTGCCAGCTGCAGGGCAGCCCAGCTGTGGCCAGCTGGAAATGCAGGCAAAACTGCCACTGGTATTTCAAGAAGAAGATGTTATATTTCAACAGCACCTCAACAAAACTCACTGAGGAAGGGCAGGCCAACACACAGGTAATCCTGTTGAATTACATGCTTGGGTCCCCTGAAAGTTTTGATTCTTCCCTTTCTGCAAGAGCTGTAGACATCATGTACAGCTTTATCTGGAGCAGAATGTTGCCAGCATGTAACTCTCAACATCTCACAACTCTGCTACCATAACCCGTGCTCTCCATCATCCTCAGAACTTGTGSTAAATGGAACACAGCCCTTGATCTCACAGCAGCTGTGCTAGACCAGGATCAAAGTCTAGCAGCTGGMAAATTAGCATGCGGGACTCCAGCCATAAGGAAAAGGCCTTTTCATACTTGAGAAACAACAGGCATGCTTCTGCTGCCATGTAACAGAAAACATAGTTATGGTTAGATATGTGATGATGAGTAACAAGGATACAGATCACTGGCTCTCGAGTGCATGGAAATGTGTTMACATCATCCAAAATGCTGACAGCGCCAGGATTCATCACTTGCTTTTAGTGACACCTCCCACTACATGCTTTTATTTTTCCATCATGAGCTAAAATTTCAAAATGTGGCAGAATGAACTAGTTACGGATGTCCTGAACTGACAAGTTATTCACAGAAAGGCATATATATATATATATATATATATATATGGGGTAAGTTAATGCATGTGTATCCTGTTTCGTCAGCACAGTTTGTGGTAAAAGCCTCTCTGTGTGACAGGTTTGGTGATCACCTCTCACCAGCTGCATTCCAGGCCCCTTAGCCTGGCTGGGAGGTGGCTGACAGCTTCTGATTAAATGAGACAGGAAAGAGAGTTCAAASTGGGCCAGCTTCTTCAGGTCTCGGTGGCCCTGAGCAGCTTTTGCTCTTGATTTTCAGTCAGTCCTTCAGTGGGTGATGAGGAACACAGGATAGTGGGCCTTTGATGTCATTGACAGTGATAATTCTGGGACTTGCAGCCAGAGTTGGCAGGRTGACAATTCTCACTGGGATCAGTGGAGGCACTGTTGCTGCCCAAAGCCAGTTATTTTAAGTCACATCTAAACAAGGCATTATCAGCTTAAGAACAGCCTTTCTCCCCTGCAGCAGGTTCAATTAGATGCAACACTTGGTAACTAAAAAGCAAAATCACATCCCTCTCACTTGAGCCAGACTGCTCTTGTGCTCAGTGGGTGTTGGCTGCTGCTGAACTGAAGAATTCACAGCCTGGTAGGTATGTGGGTAAATGCCTGGAAGGCTGACACAGAAGCACCACAGCCTCATTTCAGACACCTCCCTGCATGCCAGTGCCTGACATCCCTGCCTGTGGGGGAGCAGGTGACCCTGCACTATTTCTTGTACCACCATGCTTTCTGGTGGTGGTTGTTTGCCTTCTCYCTTACTCATCTCCTGAGCAAAAATAAACAATCATGCCACCAGAAACTACCACTGGATCGACATTTCACAGCCTGCCCATGCATGCTCCCTTCTTCCCTCCATACTCTGCATTTCCAGTGGGTATTTGCTGCTCTAGCCATTGTGTATTTAGTGGTAGAAAATCTGCACCAACAGTTTGCTTTGCTCAAGCAGAGACTAATAGCCCATTGCAGACAAAGTCATAGAAACATGAAGAACTTTGCAATAAGGAAAACAAAACAAAAATGCTCTTAACACATCTATGGTTTTTTTTCTATGAAACTGTTTTATGAGGTTGGGGCTTTTTAATTCGTCACTTGCTCCCTATGCAATATTATTGCCCATTAAATAAAAATATTTACTTACCGAAACAAAAAGGTGTATTTGCTAACAACAAAATCCCAACACCTTTACAGGTTCCCAGACCTAGTTCAGGAAACCTCTTGCTGGGCTGTAGGGCTAAGAACCAGCCAGGGCCCCTTACAGACATTGGAGACACCCATGGGCAGTGATAGCCAACTCCAGAGTGAACCAGGCCCCCCCTTTTCCCAGTGCTGCATYAAAACCAGCACAAGTAAACCCCCTTTCCCCCCAAGTCAGAGCATTTCTGTTAATATCTGTTGGATGAAGACTTCACTCTATACCCAAATACCTGTGGAGTTCAGGTGGGTGCAGGTCCAGGAGTGGCTCTCGTGTCTCACTGAAGTCCATGACGTKGCTCCTCAGCTCCCTTGCAGMACTCCTGGCCCAAATCTAAGGCTCCAGCTCYACCAAGCTTCTCCTCCAGCGAAGGAGACACTCCTGGCCCAAATCTAAGGCTGCAGCTCCACCAAGCTTCTYCTCCAGYGAGGGGGCTTCCCCCAGAGACCCCACTCAGCTGCTGTGCCCTCTGCCCTGGTCACCCTCCTCAGCTCCTCCAGCTATGGCTGTCTTCCCAGCCAGATTTCTGAAATGATTCAGCTCAGGGGATAAACTAAACAGAGCTTCCTCCCTGGGGGAGAGGCATGAGCAGCAGGTGAGGAGTGAGGATGCCAATAACCTGCTGTCACAGCCCAACACTGTCATTACCTTACATCACAGGTAATTASAGCCACAAATCAGTCACACTGAGTTAATTTGTTCAGTCCTCATTTACTTGCTTTTAGTGGAGGGAAATAATTTGAAAGCAGCTGACGTTGGATCACCTAACTACACATGGGCTTCAGCTGTGAAATCAGATTCCAGATTTGCACTCTTCAAACTTAAAATCAGGATACRTCTGTCAGACCACTCTCTAGTTCCTTGTGCCTATTTCTTCAGTTGCAAAGATTTGTTTGAAATAACTGATAAATCAGGAAAGGTTTGAGGTATCTGAGCAGAACAGAAATCCACATGAATTTTGTGTATTTATCTATTTTGAAATGCTCCATTTAATGTCATCAATATTGCTGTACTAAGTGCAATAGTTTTGAGAATCCAGATATACTCTTCTTGTAAAAAGATGAAACAAGCCTGGGACTGATGAAGAGAGTGCTGAAGGAACTAATGCACACTTAAAAAGAAAAACCTTCCCTTCAGTATTAATGTGATCTGAGCTATTGTAGAGCAATCACAGCCCTCAGATTACTTTATACTCCAGTRAGTTAGACTTAAGTGCTTCATGAGAGAATTAAGAGAACTCAAGGTATGAATACCCATAATTCAAAATTTCTAAGAGCTATTAGGAGTGGAATTCAGCTACAKAAAGTTCTGTCATTTTATTACATATATTCACACACATGCATGTAGAACTACTTATTTACCCATTAATTAACTTTTGAYATCTCCCATCCATTGTAGCTCGTTTGCTAATCCAAAATTAGGGGTAGCTACACCCCTTTTCAAACATTAGCAGGACCTGAGCATTATGTTCTAATTCTTCATATTTCAAGTGCTTATAAATTATTAAAATAGGAGATTTAGCTGACTGTTCTGTAGAGAAATCATGCTTTACTGCTGTTATATGCTCAGACTGTTTTYTAAACAATACTGTTTATTTCATTACCTGATAAATTCATATAAATTGTCAGCAAACACATAATGGAAAGCTATTTTTCCTGCTGAAAATAAAATTGAAGGTTATCCCAAGTAATAATGAAAGCCCACAGCAGCACTGGCATTACATCAAACSTCAGTCCTGATGCATTACAAAGGTACCTCTATACTGTTCATGATCAGAGGAAAGATTAAGTGATACAAAGGGCCAGCTGGTGCTTTTTTAATAAATTCTGGCAACRAGGTTACAACTCTGGACAGTGGCCAACAGTGCAGTTTTCATGTGCAATCAAGGGTATAGCTTAAAACAGAGAAGRAATCAAATCCTCCTCTGCAGCCAGGACTGGAGAGGGGACAAGCCAGCAGGCAGCCACTGTGGAGCCCAGGAATTGCTACTGGGGACAGTTGTACACTATTCTCCAATTAATTTTCATATAGTTTTAAYACAATTTATTAAAAGCACAGCTATTCATCTGCACTGCCCAATGACCGCTGGTTTTGCCTTCTCCCAGGCTGAGTAAAGCCARTCAGTCTCCAGAGGCCATWGAGACCATTTCCCAGTGCCTGGCTMAGCCCCATTCCTGCTCYACCCACTGYCTGGGAGCAGCAGGTGACTCCAGTGTGACACCACCATGGCAAGGGCAATCCAGAGGCCTTTGTAGACAGGTCAAGCTGGGGARGCTGTGCCTGACTGCTCCTCAACCACCACAGGGCAGAGCAGCACCCTCATTGTGTTGATGGGTCTGGAGTGGCAGCAAGCTGACCAGGAATTGTGAATGAAGCARAAAACATTGTACCCAGCATGGCCTTTAAGGAGAACTTTAAACCTCAGCACACAGCTGAARGGATGACCTTTCACAAATACCACTCGGACTTAGGCAAAGAAGTTGTATTTATATATCAGAAGGTGTTACAAGGTCCCAGCAATATGAATCTTCTTTGGAAGTAGTATCAGAAGTTTTTGATGCAACTGTGTAAAGCTGCAGTGACATGTGATTAGCAATTTTACAGGGAAAGAATGATTTTCATGGTCTTCTCTATTTTTTATAGCTTTTACCATCCTGCACTCTGAAATCCTAGACAGCAAACAGCAATGTAGTCAAACAATAGTAGAAGAATATCCTTCCAATACTGAAAAGAACACATCACATATGTTAGCAAAATTTATAATAATGCCATATAAATATCAAGCAGGTCACCATTATTATCCAGCTGCCACTATGAAGGACTGTAGTAGGCCAACAGTGCAATAAACATTTTTAGAACTGGTGGTTTCCATGCAGGTATCCAAACCAGTTACCTCTTTCCCAAAGGTTTAGAGTACCAGGCTATCTTCAAACAAAATCAGGTGAAGAGATTCTTGTAGAAACAAGACATGGGGTTTAAGATTCCAGTTCTAAAACAATTAGTTGAACTTCAAAGTCATTTCATGTTACWAGCTTCATACTTTTGGTTTTGTTCTTTCAAGTGTGGATCATTATCTTGTATTTTGTGTTTTACTAATGGATTCACTGTAAATGTGTCCATCTTCTTTTCCCATCTCTTACAGAAAAGAGCATATATGGAGTTTACACCAGCTTTTAAAACAAAAATTATTGTCTAAAGGAGAAATATAGAAATTCTCCCTTCTATGAAGGTAAATTTCAGTGCTCAGAAAAGAAGATCCATGTTGATGACAATACCACTTACTAGTTTTATCTCCACTGACAGCATGCCTAGACTGAGATAAGAATCAGAGCATTTCACACCCATGAGTGATTTTCTTCAGAAGGGAATGAGCTTCCCAASATACTCCAGGTAGAGCTGCTCACCTCGTAGTGACAGTCAGGGTTTCAGCACTGGATTTTCAGAGACAAGCAAATACATCCACCTAAATACCTTATTCTCTTCTCCTTTGTACACCAGTGTTTGCACACACTCAAACGGTCCCAGGTGCCGCAGGTGAAGCAGCCTGTGGCACAGCCTACACTACCTGCTGGTGCGTGCCAGCAGGATTTGGGATCTGGCTATAAAATTCCAGCAGTTTGCAGCAGTAGATACCTGGGAAGCAGTAATCATGCTGTGCTAAAGAACTGAACCCAAGCACAGAGGATGAGGATGTTCCCAGACCCAAGTCAATCAGTAAATYAACTCAGATTTGTTTATGACAAAATGGTKAGTGCTTTGTGAACCTGTTCCCTGYCAGCCACTGCCCTGACTTCYAGACCATGTTTAGACTACTGGASCAGACATACCATTACCTGTTAAAAGGATTGAGGATGTTTTTCCCTTTTGCATTCGCTTTCTCACCTTCAGGCAAGTTTTTGCACCATCAGCACCTGTAAGTGGAATCCTCTTGAGCTGATTATTCATCGGCAATAAATTCTCCCAAGGTTGCTACAGGTTTTTAAGACTGMATGTGTCTCTCTGAAGTGCTTCATGCCCTCAGGGTTTGTGACATTGCTCTGAGGTCCATCATATTCAAAGGGGCTGTTTACTTCAGCAGTACACATTTCTCAATAGTTCCTAAGGCATCTGAACTGCTATGGGACTATCTGGGTGATGAGAAAACTTCCAGTGCTTTGTTCTGAAGTGTCTGAACACAACACACCCAGAAAGGCAAAAAGGTTTTGAGAGCACATTCCTGTGAGCTTTGCAAGAGGACCCTGAGTCTGCAAGTCAAACAAACAAGAAACCCACCCTGTCTGGGAGTCAGACTGATCAACCCTTTTTCCTCAAGGTGTAGAAATTTCAGCTGACCTGCTGGTGACTCCTCACTTTTGTCTTGTAAAACAAGTGGGGAAGTGAAATCTTCTCAAGTTTTCCTGCTGACTTTGAGACCTTTCCTCTGGCACCATATGTTTTCAAAGAAAGAGAAAATGCTACAGGCCAATGCATTTCAGCCTTCCCTGCTGTTCCTCTGATTCAAAGCAGATCTGAATTRGCTGCATCAGATATATTTAAGAGTTGCCATACACCAGTGTAAAGTCCATTGCTTTGGACTTATTTCTATAGTGGTTCTTGGGATAGATGCCTTAAAGTCTRCAGACATTTAGTCACTGAGAAGAATCCAGCACCCAAGGCTAGCAGAGGTTATGGACATAGCTATGTTTTGGTTCAGCTTAAGATGGCATGTTTGAACTGAATCTCCCAAGCATAGCAATAATTAGTTAAAGGTGTGATTTCTGATGAGTGAAAACTATAAAACTGAAGGAATAAATTCCTAGGTACAGCTTCACTTCTCACATAACACTTAAGATAGGACTGAAATTGAGTATTTCTTCTATAGTTGTGTGGATTCAGTGAGAGCTTTGGATACCAGAGCCTATACTGCCTTTTCAAMACACCTGTATGATATTCAGCACACCTTGACTCCTGAAAAAATGACAGCAGCTCTTTCATTGTGACCCTATGTGCTTCCTCTCTCCTGCCCACTGTTTGCAGCTGAAATTTCAGCTTTCTTCTCCCCAGCTTCCCCCTATGCTGTGCCCAGCCTATAGAGGCTTGGCACCACTTGCACAGGACAGGCTGCAATTCAAAGGCCAAAAGTTGCTAAAGCGCTTATGCAAGTTAATTACTGTGCCTGTTTAATCTCATGTAATGCAGATTAGTGCTGTCAGCTTCATTGGGAGAGCAGTTGATGTAACAGGGCTGGCCCTTCCACAGGGAAGCYGCTCTCCTCAAGGGTGAGGAGATGCTGACCAGTGCTGGGAGCAGAAAACTCTTGTGTTCCCCAGTTGCTGCCAGGATGGAGGACTTGGGCACAAAAGCCGGATATGAAAACCAGTCAGGATTGAAGAGGGTATTACCTGCCACCTTTCAAGAGGAAATTGTCAGTTTTGACCCCATGCCCCACTTCTGAACCTTCAGATGAAAAATGTTAAGTTCTGGAGAACAGACCCACAAAAGACATCCTTACATCAAGACATGAGCTATGGTGAAATCAAGGCACTAGACACTGATTACATATCAAATGAAAAATCCTGATACATGTTCCCTCCAAAATGAGCAGTGATAGGTCACAGACAACCATCCAGTTTGAGAGGCCCATCATCCCTACGAGCAGGAGAAGGTGGAAAGGTGGAGGATTTCCTGGGAACCTCCACTTCTCACAACAGAAGTCCAATCTAATAGGATTAATTTACAGCCATTACTCAGGTAAAATGCCCCTTGGCAGCAATGTRTGTTTACATTGGGCCTGCTTATTCCCCGAAAGAGTGCAAATACCATGTGTTCAGATGGCTTATCCCAAAAATTAATGGCACRTTGTATTTCAGGGTCTCATGTTCCTGTTCTAAAGGGTTAAATAATATGGGTTGTCTTGATTTGTAAGAGGTAGCCAGGACTATAGCATTTTATACGACACCATTGGTAATCCAGCTACAATAATAACATCTATTTTCTCAGCCCATACATTATATGACAGTTAAGCAAGTATTTTCCACCTCAGCAGATTTTATGGTCAAATTCTTTCTGTTTCATGGCTGATAAAACTTTGATTGGCAAAAGTAATGATAACAGAATATATGATAAGGTGGTCTGCCACTGGTTGAGTGTCAGGGCATGGGACACTAAACTTCCACATTTTTAAATGTCCTTTTCATTCCACAAGATTTACAGATGCTGTAAAATTTAATCATTATTTTWAAAAGAGTATAATTAAATATAAATCACACCAATACTTTGTTTAGGTATCTGAGTAGTTTGTATTTTGAAAAAATTTTTTAAATACATTTTGCAATTTTTTTCTTTCACAGATTCTTTTTCTTTTTATTTAAGATCAAAACACAATAAGAATATTTCAATAGATTCCAGAGCAGCAACGGTTGGGTTATTTTTCTGTGCCTTCCCTTCCTCCTCCCAGCATCAGGAATGAGAATGTCAAGCCACAAAGTCATACGGAGACAGAATTTTTTCCAGGTGAGACACTGAAGCAGAAGGAAAACAGGCAGCGAAATAAGGCGTTGGAGCAGCAGCCCCTTCCCCGGCACAGAACACAAACACGCCAAGGCCCGGCAGCCGGGAGGCCGAGCCTGAATAAAGCCCGAGCCACCCCAGCGCCGCAGCTCCCCTGGCAGGAGAAGGAGGACAAACCCATTTCTTCCCTGTCCCCTCTCATCCCACTCGCCTCCCGATCCTGCTCTGGAGGGAGGAGGGCAGGGAAGTTCTCTGAAGCCAAGCACTGCAGGGCTCGATTCCACCCTCCCGCGCCAGCGGGAGCGACAGTGTGCCCAATCTCGGTACCCAGGCACAGAAATGCAGGAGCATCCCCCCCTCTCCCGTCCCTTGGAGCCGAGAACTGGCCGTTCTCAGCATTCTGATCACCAAATCCGGGCCCCCGGGCCCCAGTCCCCGGTTCCCAGTCCCC